AATCATCTGTGCTGTGCCTATTCATCCTTCCTCCAAACCTTACTAATCTTTTTATTATTGTTTCCTTAATTTTGCCTTTTCCAGATTGTCATATAGTTGATATCATTCAGTGTGTAGCTTTCTCACATTGATTTCTTTTTTTATCATTTATTTATTTTAGAGAGGGAGGAAGGGAGAGAGAGATAGAAACATTGATGAGAGAGAATATCGATTGGCCGCCTCCTGCATGCCCCTCACTGGGGATCAAGCCAAAACCTGGGTATGTGCCTTGACCGGGAATAGAACCAGGGACCTCTTGGTGCATGGGTTGACACTCAACCACTGAGCCACACCAGCTGGGCTCAGATTGATTTATTTTATTTACTAATATGCATTTAAGTTTCCCCTCTACCTTCTCATGCGTTAACAGATTTTTTTTTTTTTTAGCATTGAATAATATTCCATTGTCTAGAATATGTACCACAGCTTATTTATTCACCTACTGAAGAACATCTTGATTGTTTCTAAATTTGGGCAGTTATGAAGAAAGCTGCTATAAACATCTATGGGCAGGTTTGTGTGTGGACATACATTTTTAACTCCTTTGGCTAAATACAAAGAGTGCAATTGTTGGATCGTATCATAAAGTTATGTATTGTACAAAACTACCAAACCATCTTCCAAAAGTAGCTGTACTATTTTGCATTCTCACCAATATAGGGGAGTTCCTTTTGCTCTCCCCCTTTGCCAGCATTTGGTGTTATAAGTGTTCTGGAATTTGGCCATGATAATACATGTGTACTGGTATCTCATTGTTGGTTTAAATTGTATTTTCCTAAAGAAGTATCTTTTTATATGCTTATTTGCCATCTGTATATCTTCTTTGGTGAGAGAAACTCTCAGTCATTATTGCCTCAAATATTTCTTCTTTCTTTTTCTCTTTCTGGCATTCCAGTTATACATATGTTGCATCTTTGTAGTTATCCTACAGTCCTTGGATAGTTTGTTTGTTTGTTGTCAGTCTTTACTCTCTCTGCTTTTCTGTTTAGGTTTCTGTTGGAATATCCTCAAACACAAAGATTCTCTCTTCAGCTGTATCCAGTCTACTAATGAGCCCAATTAATGTTTTGTTGTTGTTTCTGTTGAAGTGTTATTTTATATCTAGCATTGCTTTTATCCCTTTTTAGAATTGTTATTTCTCCACTCACGTTACTTGTATGCTTTTGCATTTTGTTTCCTTTTTCCATGAAAGCCCTGAGCATGTTAATTATAGTTGTTTAAACTTTCTGGGCAGGGAATTCCAACATCCCTGCAATATATGAATCTGGTTATGACACTTCTTCTTACTTGTTAAACTGCATTTTTTTGGGGGGTGGGGGGGTGGTATGCCTTGTATTTTTATTGAAAGCTGGACATAATGTGCTGGGGGGAAAGTACTATGGTAAATAGGCATTTAGTAATGTGGTAAGACGAGAAGAGAGAAGCATTATAGATTCCAGTCTTATACTGAGCCCGTGCCCCTGAGCTGTGAATGACACTAGTCCTTCTCAGTTTGTCATTTCCACTTAGGTGGGATATGATGGTTAGAGGGGCTAGAGTTGGTTAGTTCACTTTCCTTATGAGGGAAGTAGAGTGGGCTGGAATTAGGTATTTCTCTTCCTCCAAGCTGGTTAGGCTCTGGTACAAAGTTTCTCTTGAGGGCAAGCCTTCAAAGGAAGAAGAGAATGCTCCGGTGTTACTTTTCACTTCCTTCGGCTGGAAACACAAGGGAGTTTTTCTCTGATCTTCATTGAGAGAACGTGATTGAGCTCCAGGAGATAAAACTTACAAAAGTTCTCATGGCTAGCCCAGCTGGTGTGGTTCAGTGTTTTAGCCTCGACCCATACACCAAGATGTTGCCAGTTTTATTCCCAGTCAGGATGTAATGCCCAGATTGTGGGCCCGATCCCCAGTGGGAGGCATGTAGGAGGTGACCAATCAATGTTCTCTCTCATTGATGTTTCTACCTTTCTCCCTCTCCCTTCCTCTCTCTTTAAAACAGTAAGAAAAAAAAAAATCTTAAAAAAAAAAGTTCTTATGTCTTGACCCCTCTGGATGGAGTTAATTCTATTGCTTGTCCACACTGAGTCTTCAGTAATTTATCAATTACAATTTGTTTTCCTACCCTGGTAATGATTCTTGTGGTGGTTTCTAGATATGGAAGTCAACCATTTTAAGTTGTGATTCTCTGTATCCGCTTGCATGTTTCTCCAACTCTGGGGTAGCAGTTTGCCCCATGACCTAACTTCTCTGATGTATCCATGATGAGTTGTTGAGTGTCTTTTTTTGTTTTGTTTTTGGTTTTTTAATCCTCACCCAAGAATATTTTTCTATTTATCTTCAGATAGAGTGGAAGGGAGGGAGAGAGAGAGAAACATCAAGGTGAGAGAGACACATCAACTGGTTGCCTCCCCACATGACTCTGACCAGGGCCAGGGACAACCAAGGTACGTGCCCTTGACTGGAATCAAACCCGTTACTCTTTGGTCCACGAGCTGATGCTCTAACTGCTGAGCCAAACCGGCCAGGGCATGAGTTGTTGATTTTCAATTTGTACAACTTTTTACTTATTAGAATGTAGTGACAAATACTAAGCTCCTTACATAATTTGAAAACCCAATTGAAAACCAGAACATGATTTGATTAAGTTTTCACTTAAAGTTTGTAGTTGTAATTCTTACTTGTTAGTCTTTTATACTCCTAGTTAATGTGGAATTTTATTTTATTTTTAAAATTTTTTTTATCCTCACCCGAGGACATTTTCCCATTTTTTGTTCAGGTAGAGTGGGAGGGAGAAAGAGAGAGAGAGAGAGAGAGAGAGAGAGAGAGAGAGAGAGAGAGAAACATCTACGTGAAGGGAATACATTGAGTGGCTGTCACCAGCACAACCAACCAGGGTAGAGGACAAACTGCAACCAAGGTACGCACCCTTAGCAGGAACCAAACCCGGGTCTCTCTGGACCACAGGCTGACACTCTAACCACTGAGCAAGACTGCCAGGGCTTAATGTGGAATTTTAGCATCTACTATGTGATCTTTTGAAAAGGTCTTTCAGTGATTTTCCTTAGAGAAATTGTAGTATAAGCAAAAAGTATCTTGTTCTAAATTTGTAAGAATTCCTCTCTTTATAGGTCTTCACACATAATTTTATTCATAGTGCCTATCACAGTTATACACACACACACGTATGATGATATGATGAGATTGAATATATAAAGCTATCTCTTACAGAATTCACTGTTCTGTTAGGTTTGTAGGGTGATAAATACAAAAAAAAAGTAAAAACAGATATAAACTCCTAAAAAATTTTGAATCATGTCCTACACTCATTTTGTATTTCCCACATTGAAAACTCAGACTTGTTCATGCTCCATAGGTATTTTTTGCTCCCATTTCTTTTTTCTTTTTGTTAAATCATCACCTGAGGATATTTTCCATTTATCTTCAGAGGGAGACATTGATGTGAGAGAGACACATCGATTGGTTGCCTCCCACATGACCCTTAGCATAGTTGGGACCAAACTGCAACCGAGATACATGCCCTTGACCTTAATCGAACCTGCGACTCCTGTCCTTGGACCAACGATGCTCTAACCGCTGAGCCAAACTGGCCAGGGCTTTGCTCCCATTTAAATACTTATTCTTTTATGGGGTTTTCCTAACAGATAATGTGGCTATCTATAAAAACAATCAACAAACCCAGGCAAAGCTATATATTTGCAAAACTAGATCTCATGGCACAAATTATCAATATCACTATGTGGTAAATATACTTCCATAAATTTGTTCACACCATCTTAGATTTCATGAGTCAACATTCTACTTTTAGTCTCCACTGTATCCTAAAGGAAAAATGTACAGCATCTTAAGAGCTTCCAATATTTAACATGTAAAAATTTTTCTGGTGCCAAAATTTTTTATCATTTTTTTAAAAGATATTTTTTAATTGCTTTTTAGAGGGAAGGGGAGGAAGAGGGAGAGAGAAACATTGATGCGAGAGCGAGACATCAATCAGCGGTCTCCTGCCTTCCCCACACCAGCAATCAGAGCCTGCAGCCCCAGCACGTGCTCTGACCAGAAATCAAACAAGCAACCTTTGATACACACCATGATGCCCAACCAACTGGGCCACACTGGCCAGGGCATTATCATCTTTCAACCTAAATAATTTTATGAAGTGAATTACTTATTTGAATAATACTAATATATTCCAAGCTTACTTAGCAAACCACATTTTGACATTAAGTAAATGTGTAGTTGAAACAATAGGCTACATTTATTAGTTATAAGGTCAAATTTTATTTTATGTTCTTATGGTGAGTGGAAAGAGTTTTTTGAGAAAAATTGCAGTGCCAAATGTCTAATGCTATTATGTCAGATGGGGGGAAAAAAACGTTTATCATTATCCTGTAATTGAGGAAAATAAAGGGCAGTCATATTTTCTTATCTGAACTCAATTTGCTTAAACCAGAAATTGAATGAATTTGATATTACATTCCTTACAGTGCAGTCCCTCTTTTCCTCAGATCCAATACTTAGCATGCATCGTTCTGAGTAGCCTCATCAGGGATGCGTATTCCTTGGGTGGAGAGATGGGGTAGGATTGTTAATTACTTAATCACTTCACATGTATAAATTAGGAATGAGAGAAAATCAGTCACATGAATCAAGTGTCATAAAGATCAATGGTAACAGCTGTTTCAATCCTGCTGCTACAATCTATGCTCTGTCTGCCTGATTTACCAGCTGCTGGAGATTTGATTGATAACAGGTACAACTGTAATCAAATTGACAGTCTCAATACAATATGCCAGTCAGTTCTGAAAGGAGGGGAATATTTCATTGTGGGGCGAACTAGCTTCATAAAGTACACCAATTTTACTATGAATGAGGTCCTTGAGAGAAAGGACCACTGTGAATGGTTAATACCTTGAGAAGATTTTCCTCTTTTGAGTAACCCTGAATGCTGTTATCCTCTCTAGGATCAACAACAAGCCTGCATTGTTATCACTGAGTACAGGGCTGTGACCCACATCAAATGAGATCATGAAGATGGGTTGAGTTTCTGGTGAATAGGTGACAGCAGTGCTAAATCAGTCCTCTGTGCTGACTGACACTGGCACCAGGAAAATGTCTGCAGGGATTCTGTCTAGCAGCAAGAGGACCTGACCCCAACTCAATTGTCTCAGTCATGAAAAAACTTCCCTGAATTCGAGCTTTTAGCAGTTTGCTTTCCTTACTTTTTGCCTATTGGGACAATGCGTTTTCTGGATGATAGTTGTTTTCTTTTTTTCCTTCTATTATAATTCCATTATGGCATTTATATGACTTGTATAAATAAAATAGTAGCTCTAAATTGTAGGGGGTGCTGTGATAGCATTATTTTTTCCTAAGAAATAGAAATCTTTAACATAGATACATTTCTCAGAAGTTTTGGCTTCTCAAAAGTCAATAGCTGCATTGCTGTATCCCATGTGCTGGATTAGTAAAGAAGATACTTGTCCAGCAAAAGGAATAAACTTGACAAATACATAAACCACTTTGATTTTGTTTTCGTTTTCCCTTGTCTGCAAATGTTGGGCATCAATATCTACTTTTCTGTTTTAGACCTACCTTAGCTTGTTGGTCTTACTTCTTTGAAAAATAATGAACAGTTTCATCTTTATTTAGTCCATTTCCTTAGTGTGAACAGTTTCCAGATTGACTTAGTGATGTAGACATGAACCTATGAGAAGTTAGACAATTAAAATGTTACTATAGATGATTAATTCAAATACATTTTTAGTGAAGTCCTCGGGATTTTCTATATGTAAGATAGTGCTATATGAAAATAAAGTGTGTTTTTTTTTTTTTTATCCTCACCCGAGGACATTTTTCCATTTTTTGTTCAGGTAGAGTGGGAGGGAGAGAGAGGAACAGAGAGAGAGAAACATCGATGTGAAGGGACACATCGAGTGGCTGCCACCCGCACAACCGACCAGGGCTGGGGACAAACTGCAACCGTGGTACGCGCCCTTAGCGGGAACCGAACCCGGGTCTCTCAGGACCGCAGGCCGACGCTCTAACCGCTGAGCCAAACCGGCCAGGGCTAAAGTGTGTGTTTTTTTAAAATTTATTTCTTACTTTATTGATTTTGGAAAGAGAGAAAGTGAGAGGGAGAGAGAGAAAGAGACATCAATGAGAGAGAACATCAATTGGCCGCCTCCTGCATGCCCCCCCCTGGGGATCGGGCCTACAACCTGGGCATGTGCCCTGATAGGGAATCAAACCGGCGACCTCTTGGTGCATGGGTCGATGCTCAACCACTGAGCCACACTGGCTGGACTGAAAATAAAGCGTTTTAATTATTTCTTTCCAAACTGAATGCCCTTTATTTCCATGTGTATTAGTTAGTTTTTACTTCCCAGATTTTTCTTTCTAGAACCTCTAATACAATGTTAAATAAAAGTGACAAATATAGACATCTTTGTACTTTTCTTGATCCAATGAGAAAACCAGCTGGTCTTTCATCTTTGTTTCTGATATTACTTATACATTTTTTTTATAGATGTCCTTAATCAGATTGTTAAAGTTTGTTTTAATCATATCTCTATAGCTTTACCTAATAGAAAACATTTCATAGAGCTATAATTATACAATTTTTATTTTGTATTGCACATGAAGTACATTGCTTTGTATAAACTTACATTTTTAAAAATCTGAGAGAAAAAATAAACTAATATATACTCAGAATCTGTTATATTGACCTTTTTATTTATTCTTTCTATTTAGCATTATTTTTTTGCCCTGGATATGAGTTATCATCTGCTGTCATATTTTTAATAAAATACAGTTTTGTTCCCATGTGCTTCCTTATGGTATTATTATATAAATTATACCATAAGTCTAACAATACAATCATATACCTGTTGTTTTATGCAGTTGTTTTTTAAATCAGTTAAGAGAAAAAAGGAGAATATGCAATTATATATTTTTATAATGAATTACATAGTTACCTTTACTAGTGCTTTTTTTGTGTGTAATTCAGATTACTTTGATTATCATTGCTTTCAGCCTGAATAACTTCCTTTACTATTCTTCATAATGCAAATCTGTTAGGAATAATTTTTTTTTTTTTTCAGTTTTTGCTTATCAGAGAATACCTTCATTTTGCTTTCATTTTTGGAATATAGTTTGGCTTGATATAACATTCTTGGTTGATTGATTAACTTTTTTTTCACTTTCAGTACACTGATTATGTTGTCCCATTTCCCTCTTCCATCCGTTGTTTCTGATGAGAAGTCAGATGTTATTCTTACCTTGTACATGTCTGATGTGGATCTCTTTGTGATCCACACACTTGCAGCATTTGAGCTTCTTGGATGTCTAAATTAATTTTTATAATCAAATTTGGGAAGTTATCAACCATTTTTTCTTGTATAGCTTTCCCAATATGCATAATTGACTGTGATCCCATGAGAGTTATTCTTGAATGTCTTCCTCCCTCCTTATTTTCATTAAACTTATGGTTGCTTTAACCAGAAACTTTTATCTTTCTTTAAACACTCTTCATTAAAATATTTATTATTTACAATCATGCATAGTACAATATTTCTACTTTCCAGTGAGAAATAAGACAGAAATAAATAAAAGAAAATTGGTTAATATAGAAACTTTCTCATGCTATTAACTAAAAAATGTACCTTCTTCTTTTTGTACTTTGTGCTTATTTAAAATCAGGTTTAAAAACCCAAAAAGCAAAAGCCAAAACAGAACACACACACACACACACACACACACACACTCATTTGTTATAAAGAAATAGAAAATCTGAACAAATTACTAGTAAGAAGATTGAATCCATAATCAAAATTTTCTCAAGAAAGAAAAGCCCAGGACCATATAGCTTCACTAGTGAATTCCACCCAACATTTAAAGAAAAATGAATACTGATTCTTCTCAAATTCTGTAAAAAAAAAGTAATAAAAGGAAACACTTCTCCAAACTTATGTACTAGGCCAGCATTACTCTAAAACCAAAACCAGATAAGAACACTACCAAAAAAAAAAAAAAAAAATCACAGGCCAATATCACTAATGAATATAGATACAAAAATTCTTAACAAAATAGAAAACTGAATTCAACAGCACATTAAAAGAATCATATACCATGATCAACCAAGAACTATTCCAGAGGTGTAAGGATGTTTCAACTGTGCAAATCAATTAATGTGATACATACCATAAACAAAATTAAAGATAAAAATCATGATCCTCTTAATAGATGCAGAAAAAGCATATGACAAAATTCAACATCTTTTCATGATAAAAACTCTCAGAAAACTGTGTTAGAAAGAGTGTACCTCAACAAAATAAAGGACATATATGACAAGCCCACAGATAACATTATACCCAGCAGTGAAGAGCTGAAAGTTTTTCCTCTTACGTTAAAAACAAGATAAGGATCACCATTCTCACCACTTTTTTTTAATACGGTACTGGAAGTCCTAGCCAGAACATTTAGGCAAGCCAAAGAAATAAAAGGCATACAAATTGGAAAGGAAGAAGTAAAGTGGTCTTTATTTGCAGATGATATGATATCATATATAAAACCCTAAAGACTTCACCAAAGAAATGTTAAAACTAATAAATGAATTCAGTAAAGTTACAAAACACAAAATCAACATGCAAAAATGAGTTGCATTTTTATACAATAAAAACAAATTATCAGAAAGAAATTATGAACCATACTATTTACAATTAGATCAAAAATAATAAAATTTTTAGGAATAAATTTAATCAAGGAAGTGAAAGATCCATACATTGAAAACTGTAGCACATTGATGAAAGTAACTGAAAAAACATAATTAAAAAATATTATTCCATACTAAGATAATGAAAACAATTAATATTGTTATAATAGTCATACTACCTAAAGCAATCTACAGATTTAGTGCAAACCCTATCAAAATTTCAAGGGCATTTTTAACAGAAATAGAGAAAAATCTCTATAGAACCACAAAAGACTACAAATAGTGCAAATGCTATTAAGAAAAAGAAAAAGAAAAACAAAACAAAACAAAACAAAGCCAGAGGCATTACACTTCCTGAGTTCAAATACATTACAAAGCTACAGTAAACAAAACAGTATTCTATTGGCACAAAAATGGGAAGGAATAGAGATCTCAGAATTAAGCCCATGCATACATGATCAATTAATTTATGACAAATGAAAAAAGGTAATCTCTTCAATACATGGTGCTGGGAAAACTGGATAACTACATGCTAAAGAATAAAACTGGACCCCTATCTTACATCATACACAAAAACCAACTCAAAATGAATTAAAGGCTTGAATATAGGACCTTGAACCATGAAACTCCTGGAAAAAAAACAAAAACAAAAACAAAAACATAGGGCATAAGCTCCTTCATATCTGCTATACCAGTAATTTTTTAAAAAATTTCACACCAAAAGCAAAATATAAACAAGTAGAAATATATCAAATTTAAAACAAAACAAACAACACAAAACCACTACACAGCAAAGGAAGCCATGAACAAAATGGAAAGGTAACCTACTAAATGGCAGAAAATATTTGTAAATCATATATCTGACAAGAGAGTTAATATGCAAACTATATAAAGAACTCATACAACTCAATAGTAAAAATGAAAATAATAACTATTAATAATCTGATTTTTAAAAATATGTTTTTGTTGATGTTTTTAGAGAGAGAGGAAGGGAGAAAGAAAGATAGAAACATCCATGTGAGAGTGATACATCAATCGACTGCCTCCTGCACGCCCCCTATGGGGGATCAAGTCTACAATCCGGCATGTGCCCTGACCAGGAATTGAACCGGGACTTCTCAGTCCATGGGACAACACTCAATCCATTAAGCCACACTGGCTAGGCTTAATAATATGATTTAAAAATGGGCAGGGGAACTGAGTACATATTTTTCTGGAGAAGGCATACAAATGACCAACAGGTATATGAAAAAGTGTTCAACACCACTAATTATCAGTGAAATGTAAATCAAAACCAAAATGAGATGTCACCTCGCACCTGATAAAAATAGCCATCATCAAGAGGTCAAGAGACAAATATTGGTGAGGTTGTAAAAAAATTGGAATTCTGGTGCACAGTTGATGGAAATGCAAAATGGTGCAGGTCCTATGGAAAATGGTATAGATATGCCTTCAAAAATTAAAAATAGAACTATCATATAATTCAGCAATCTACTTCTGGATCATGAAATATTATATGCACTCCTAGTATTCATCGCAGCAGTGTTCACAATAGTCAAAATATGGAAATATTACTGGACTAAAAGTGTCCATTTGCTTGCGTGCATCAAAGCCCAATCAAATATAAACAGGAGTTTTCAACCAATGTTATTTTTAAAGAAATAGCACCATTTCTGGAGTGAAAGGTAAGCTCATGCTCAAAGTACTGGCTTTTTCCTGATGGCTTCCAGGGGATAGATTATATTGGGGAAAAATCATTAACCATGGTAGCTAAAGGAGTTGAGGTCCTGTGCTGTATTGATTGGTTGGGGCCAGGGTAGGGAGTAATTGATCATCATACCAGA